AGATCCTACACAGTGTTTTCAGATTAACAGGTAACAAATGAAATAGACACAAAACTTCAGTGAATACTACCTGAATGCTGTGAGGTCTTATTACACAGTGAAGACAAATCAGACATTTAGGCAGGCTGAAATCTCAGACACAATCAATGTACTTGAAGCCATGCAGGCTTCAAGCATGTGTGAATAGATAAACTTGAGTCCTCCCATAGGTAAATTATTTTGCATGCCTGGTGGCACATACTTTTTGCCCAAAAGCTGACTTTCAAGCCCCGTGAGTTTTCAGATCATGTAACCACTCACTTGCAAGTACTCTACATACTCATTCACACTCTTACATAGAGTAGCAACTCTGTAAATCTCAGAACCCAAGCTGTAGGTGCTCAAAGCTTGTGTGTCTTACACCACACCTGAGGATACAGGTGTGGAGCCAATGGTCCTCACGGTCCAAGTGCTGATGCTCAACTAAGTGAAAGATTTTCTGATCGAATTTTCTGATTTTTTCCTTCTCAAGAAGGACTTGGTGGGAAGCTCCTTAAGCACTACATGTTCCAACCTCTGCCCTAGCATTTGCAAAACAAAAATTAAGGCAAAGTGACAAGTAACAGTAGCTGCCTACAAGAGTCCTAAGTAAAATCAGTAGCCGTGGTGGAACAGCCACATCAGCACTGCTGCAAAAAGCCAGTCCTGAGGCTCTCAGCTGAAAGCAGATGTCTTTGAACTATCCTACACTTAAACCCCCTCTTCAATCACTCATTCAGTGATGTGTTTGCTTAGATAGATGATGAGTAAATTTTCTGCTACCACCTAAGCTAGTTGTTAGTGAGCACTGTCAACATACCTCTTAAAATGAACTGCAAGAAACAACCCCCAACGAATATAGAACATCTTGCAATTACTTCTGCTGCTTCTTCTGTTTCAGCTGTAGAATTCCGTACCTGCTCCCCAGCCCTTAGTCCCTGGAGTCACTACTATCAGGACAAATGGTTCATGTTCAAATCCTCAGCACTTAGGGTCTGGGAAGATATATAATAGGCTTATAGCAAGTAATTGAATGGTTAAACACAAGGAACTAAGCTTCTGCCAGCTACTGTCAGCAGATGCTATGACAGCAAGAGACAGAGCTCCCTTGGAAAACTTCTCCATAAAATGGAATGAACTCTGTCAAAAGCTTTAGATCACTGTAAACCTCCTCGCTTTTCCTCTTGAGATGCGATGCATATTGCTCTGACCACATGCAGTATAAGCAGACAGCTATTTAGAAACTTATATGAAATAAAATTTCAAAGCAAAACACTCCAGCAATCCTCTGTGTGCCTTTCAGCAGTCGGTGGGAGGCTGCAAGACTAAGGCTGACAGGTGTCAGACGTACTGTGTAATGCCTGGCTGAGGAGTGCTCATATGCTCTAGCAGTAAAAAGCCTCATGAAGCAGTGCAGGAAGGCTCAGATCCAGAAGGCAGTTGCCTTCCTTTTCTTTGCCTGTCTTTTCTCAGTGTAGTGGGCTGACCCTGGTTGGGTGCCAGGTACCTAAGGCCACTCTCTCAGTCCCCTCTGCAACCGGACAGAGGAGAAAAAAAACAACAGTGAAGGATTCATGAGTTAAGAGCTGGGAGAGGTCACCATCATGGGAAAAACTGTCTAGGAAATTTCAGGCACCCAGAAGCAGCTGGGGAACCTCACGAGGGAAGGCCTCAGTGCTGGAATAGAAAGATACTGCCTGTACAGTTCACCCAAAGGCTCACAAGGGATAACCACACGTGCTTGGGAAATGCCACCATGCCCACCTGCCCTCCAGCCACACTCTCAGCAGCACCTGTGGATTTTAGACTTTCCATTTCTTATTTTGAGTTCAGTAACGTACAAGAAATGTTATATAATGTTATATAATCTGCTTTGTAATAGAGTGAAATTTAATTTTTGAATGGAGCTTAAATAAAACTAGTCCTGCTGACTAGTCAAGAACATTGCACAAGCTCTGGACAACCTGGAGTTAAACCTATCGACTGGCAGGATGATGCCAGCATGTTCACTGATCTGTTGTATGATGCCAAACAGGAAAGGTAACAGCTGAGTTGCTCTTGTCTTTCTTTGGCAGAAATATTTCACTTTTTCTCCTCTATCTGGCTGCTGATTTACCTTTTTTCATTTGTAAGGAAGAATATATTACCATCCAATTATAGATTATTTTGGCCAGTATTTTACAGATTCCTTTATTAAATTTCTCACCAATTGCTTTATCAGATCTTTCTTGCCTTAAAATTATTTTATTTGCACCACTGTTATCATCTTTCAACTGACCAAGAGATCAAATTTTTAATTTCACAGACAATACATTATGCCTCGTGTTTTAAAAATAAAAGACAAACACCTGATTTCGTTTAATCAAAGCAAAGAGAAAAGTAAGTTGATTTCTAAGGCATTCACCAGTCCTGACTGCAGGTCCGAGGTAATTTCACGTCTTCTGACATGCTGTGGAGATTGCAGACAGCAATTCTTAAAATCACTTTTACGTTTGCATGTATCTTTATTGCAATTTATTTGTACAGGGCCGGCATTTTATAAAGGAACTTGAATTGGATTAGATAGCAAGAGACATTTACCCATTATGCAATGGAAAGAGAAAAAAACACAGCCTTGAAAAGTTCTGTGACTCATTTGCTGATTTCCTTTCTTACATTCTCAGTCCCACTTGGAAGTTTTCCTTCTCATGTACCTGGCCCCCTCACTGTCGATTGCTTCATAGAGGTCTTTTTTATTCTCTGCTGTTGCATGCAAATAACCAAGGTAGGCCACACAGAGGCTAATTGTTATCAGTCCAAATGCCATCACAGGTTTGTTCTGACAAGAAATAAAAAGATAGTACATGTTTTTTAGTGAAAACTTTTTTCATTCAACTCAAACATTACATTCTTCTATTTTATCTTAGAAAGTGAACAGTAAACTATTGTGACATCTGCAAAAATCATCACTGCCTTCTTGCAGATTGAATTTTTTGATAGCAAAAAGAATTTCCTCTCAAAAAGGAGACAGAACACCACGTTGCCCAGTGCTCTGTATTTTGCTGGGCAGAAATGCTGCTTGAGCATGAATGAATAAGCCAAAACCAATTACCAAAGGTCCTTACTACAAACTTCTAACAGAATTCACCTGGATATACTGCTGGGACAATGCCCTCTGCTCCTACCAAGCAACCTCGATTATAGGTTTTGTACTATTATCACAAAATTTACTTCTATTATACGCATAAAATGTCATTCATTGCTGTGTTCTGCAAGTGCAAATAAAACCTCAAGTTCATTAACTTAATTATAAAAGAAAAAAAAAATCCAAAATCCCCAAAAGCTAGGAAAAATCCCCTCATTTCATATCAAAGAAGTTTGCATTTTATGATTTGTTCCCTTTTAAATATTAAAAACAACTCCTATTAATTACATGGGTATTAATTACATGGGTAACATGTCTGTACACAGACTTTCTGAAAGAAGCTTGACTAGGTACAAAAGAACCAGACAATACAACAGTGAAATAAGAGCTGCAATAAACAGTGTAATGTTCTGGGCTCTTAACAATCGGAGTGGAAAGAAATAAAAATATTTTTAGTTACATTTCTGAGTGGTTTGCATGACAAGAGATTGTTATATAACACACAGAATTGTGATCATTATTTTAAAGCAACTGTGTCTCTTCAAGCATATTTAGTTTCTTGAGCATCTTACAGGTTTAATGAAAAGCTCTGGGTTCACAGCTCGGAAGAGCATAGTTGTCTGGACACTCCTCAGTCCTGGTTTCCTCTCTCCGGGTGTTTCATTTTCATTGGAAGGTTTGGTGGAAGACATGTTACTTAATATTGAATACTTCCTAGAAGCAGAATGAAAAACAGCTGTCATTTTTGTAAAAAACATAAAAGAGCTACATTCACTGAACAGGAGTTCACACTCAATTTGTCTTCCTTCAGCATGAATTTTAGTTTGTGTATATATTAATGACTGCCTTTGGTGTCATCCAACATTCCCAGTTTAAGCACACCAATTAATTTTGTGCACCGTAAAATTAACTTTTGGAGATGCACATCTTCACACAGCAAATCTGAATCTTCTGATAATGGGCTGGGGGTTTTTCACTTGCCTCTGGCTAATGCTTTAGCTACCTGTGCACTGAGCAGCATCAGTCTTCAGACCACTGGCTAAAAAGACAGTGCCAGGAAACATTGTTTTGGGGTTTTTTTAACCCTTATATGCGTCAGGACAGCCCACACCCTGCTGTAGTACACCCACCCAGCAGCCCCAGGACTCAGGTCTCACTTTTGCACACATTGGGCAGGTCCAAGACGCCTTGGGTTCAAACTGAAAGAGAGGAAATCCAGGCTAGTTAGAATACAGAAGAATTAGAGCATGGAAGAAACTCTTTACTGTGAGGGTGGTGAGGCACCAGAACAGGTTGCCCAGAGAAGTTATGGATAGCCCATCCCTTCAAGGCCGGGTGGGATGGGGCAACCTTGTCTAGTGAAAGGTGTCTCTGCCCATGTCAGGAAGGTTGGAACTAAATGATTTTATAGTCCCTTACAACTCAAACTATTCTGTGATGCTATGATTCTATGCCACCCGAGCAAAGGTGGCAAAACGCCCTTGGCTAACGCTGCTGACTGAGGGGCAGAGGCGACACAGGGCTGGGGACCTCCCCGGGAAGGGCAGGGGAAGGGCAGACGCCTCCCGGCGGGCGGCGAGGGGGCTCCCGGCGTCGCCACCGGGACGAAGGGGGCCGTTTGGCAGGGGAAAAGCCCGGCAGGGACTCCCGGGACACGCGGGACTCCGCTCGTCCCCCCCCCCCCTGCGCCTCAGGAGAGACAGGAGGAGGACAGGGGGGAGCGGGGTAAACACCGCGCGCGCCCGCCGCTTACTCACCGCGCGCCGCCAACGCTCCTCCCCGCGGGCGGGGCGGGCAGGGCTGCGCCTGCGCTTGCGCCCCTGCGGGCGGAGGCAGTTGGCGCGCGGAGGCGCGGGACATGGACAGGCCCGGGCCCGCCCGTCTCTTTCAGCCGTCGGCGGCGGAGGCGGACCGGGAGGTTCCCATCGGGCGGGGCTGTGGGCTTGCCTCCTCTATGAATCATAGAATCATAAAGGTTGGAGGAGACCTACAAGATCATCCAGTTCAACCGTCTACCCAGCGATACCACTATAACCCCTAAACCGCTGAACCATATCACCCAGCGCCAGATCCAGGCGCCTCTTGAACGCTTCCAGGGATGGTGATTCCACCACATACCTCCTTGGGTAGCCTGTTCCGACGCCTGACCACCCTAACAGTGAAAAGTTTTTTTTCTAATGTCTGATCTAAGTCCCATCTAAGGCCATTTCCTCGTCCTCTCACTGCAGGCGTGGTAAAAGAGACGATGAGGCTCCCCTTGAGCCTCCTCTGGGCTAAACACTCCTAGCTCCCTCAGCTGTTCCTCATAAGACGTGTTGCCCTTCCCAGACATGCTCCAGCACCTCAATGTCCTTTTTAAAGTGAGGGGCCCAAAACTGAATGCAGTGCTGAACAAGGAGGTGGGGGAAGGAGCTGGCTCTGTGGGCAGAGGAGCCCTTCACTCAGCGCCCGGGCACGGTCACGCCAATCCCAGGAGCTGCCCAGGATTCATCCAGCAGTGCAAATGCTGGCAATCAGGATGTCAGCAATTATGTTTTAAATGTGGGAAATGGAAAAGGAGGGGTAGTAAGTTTTGCCCGTCTGTTGATCTCAAGTGCCAGGATGGGGAAAGGGTGTTTCATGTGAAGACGGGTCTCTGGAAGTGCAGTTGGTTGAGCAGAAAAATACATTGGATTTTAAATATTTGATTTCTGTTGTGTAGATCCAAACCCAAGACTTTGGGCATCTGAAAACTCCTGGTTATGTAAATGCTGCTTTGTGGTGGTGTTTTGTTTCCTTTCATTTGTAAACAGTAAAATTAAGAAAATTGCCCGGAGTCCAGAGGAAACAAAGCCCACTCGATCACCTCTGACTGCTCATTCCACCCTTTCCACTTCCACTGACTTCAGTGCCATTGGGCAGTTTCAGCCCCATTAGAAAGTAGAGGAGAAATTTGAAATTTTAGAAAAAACAATACATGGAGGGTAGGGAGGGACACAGATCAGTGTTCCCCTAGGTAACCAGCTGGCAGAACCAAGATATGATGGATAATATTACAGACTTCTAGCTGCAGCCAGCTGGGGGATTAGCACATATGTAATTCTGGGCTCACCAACTCCAGTTCACACTTCTCCATACCTGGAGGGTGTGTGAGAGGACTTTGGTGGAGCATATTGCAACCATGGGGACAGAAGGGGACAAACATAAGTCTTGGCAGGTAGCTGGCTGAACATGAGCTAGCAGTGTGCCCAGGTAGCCAAGAAGGCCAATGGCATCCTGGCTTGTATCAGAAATAATGTGGCCAGCAGGACTAGAGCAGTGATTATCCTCTTGTACTCAGCATTGGTAAGGCCACATCTTGAGTGCTGTGTCCAGTTCTGGGCCCCTCTGCTGGTTCAGTGGAGGGCAATGAAGATGATGAAAGGTCTGGAGCACAAGTCCTATGAGGAGTGGCTGAGGGAGCTGGGGTCTTCCAGCCTGGAGAAAAGGAGACCTGGGGGGATGTTATTGCTCTCAACAACTCCTGAAAGGAGGCTGTAGCCAGGTGGGGGTCAGTCTCTTTGCCTAAGTAACAAGTGACAGGACAAGAGGAAATGGTCTCAAGTTGCATCAGTGGAGGTTTAGATTGGATATTAGGAAAAATTTCTTCTTGGAAAGGGTAGTCGTGTTGGAACAGGCTGCCCAACAAGGGCTCAAAAGGCATGTGGATGTGGTGCTTGTGGATATGGTTTAGTGGTGAACATGGTGGTGCTAGGTGTATGGTTGCACTTGATAATCTCAGAGGTCATTTCCAACCTTAATGATTCTATGAAATGTAGAGGTATCCAGATACTCGGAACCACTTGCTCCATGGTTTGCTTTTTTTCAGTAATTGAGCTACCTTTTTTTTTTTTTTAAGATGGTGGATTAATAGTATATTGCAGGTTAACTTGTCCCTTCTAAATCCAGATGGAGTATCTAAAGAATTTTTTTTTGTTTTTGTGACTAAATATAAGACGAGAAAATTAATAGGGAAATAAGTTTTAGTGTCAAGAGAGGATTGAGTGGTATGTCTGGGTTTTGTGTCAACATTTAATTCACAACATACCATCTGCTAATCTGGTAGCTATTGTTTTGGCAGCATATGCCACACAGCTGATTTTGTTTGGAAACTATTGAGTAGGAAATCCAAGTGAAGCTTGCTGCTCTTGTTTGTTTTCATTTTTGTCTAATTGAAATAAGTCAATAGGAGGTTTTTGCAGGAGCCTTCATTTTTGGGAAGGTAGCTTGATTTTCTTGAGGGGAAGGGGGATTTTTTACAGTACTGTAAGAGATTATCTGCATACAGCTCCCAAGCAATTTTCCTCCCCACATTTTATATGGGAAGGCAAAAGATTTATATCACCACACTGAGAAAGCACACTTGCTTATCGGCACATGCACACCTTCCCAGCAATTACACCATCCATGCAGATAAAAGTTCTGATCCAATGTCAGTCAGGGTCATGATAGTATTTTCCAGGTTGTGGTAGGATGGGTTTATGTCAGAACACATTTGCCATATAATGGTGGCAAGGACTGTTAGATTGGTGCTAGTTGTCGGGCACTTCCCATCTTCCTTATGGAGGACAGGTAAGTCCCAGACACCCTTGACAGGGAAGGATTCAACTCTGTAAAAAGAACACCATTGGCCAGAGAGAAAATATTCTCCATGTGAAGAGCTGTGAGATAAGGCTTTTTGCATAGAAAGAGAAGCAAAGAGGGACATAGAAGAGAGTTTGGGTTTTGATGTAAATGTTGGTACTTGGCATGTGTACTAAGCATGTTCCAGCTAGCCAGGTTAACCATACAGTGATGAAAAGCTTGTATTGCTTACTGTTTCTAGTTTTGCTTTATGACTGTGGGAAAGTGTTGTATTTTATCTTTAATGTGAATATTTTATTCCTATCATCTGACCTAACAGGATGTTGAAATGTTCAATCCATCAGGGCTTATAAAGCTCTTTGGCATCTTTTTATAGAAGAGACTCTATAAAGAGTAGAGTAGTAAATATCTGTGGAATTTCTGAGTCACCCATCGTCTAATATCTGAGTATCTCTTCTGAAAAATAACCAAAAAAACCTTCCTTTTCCAAACCTAAGTCCGTTACCGAGATTTATTTTCCTTTCAAATAAATTCCTTTGGGATTTTGCATTCAGAGGATTCTGCTGTATGCCATATTCATTCAGAACGTAATAGCGGTTTCTGCTTTTTTTGAGACTCACATGCCCTTATCGTTTGAGCTGCAGAAGAGCCTCTGTAGGGAACAGAGCAAACCCGGTGCTGTGCCCCGCAGACATCGTTAGCATGCGACAGCCAGCCTATTGCAGTCCGGGGAGCAGCAGCAGTGCCTCCACGTCTTTGCTGATTGACCTCACAGCTCCTTCCTATTTCAAGTACCGCACAGGAACAGAGCTTCATATCGTCTTCAGCATAAAGACAGGGTGCCTCAAGCTACTGATAAGATTATCCCTGCTTTAGAAACACAGTTACAGAGCTGTTGTGGGAAGAAAAAATTCTTTTTGCATCAACAGTGGGACTTCACTGGTATGACTTGTACTGAGAGGGGCAACTTTCATCACGTTTGTTAGGGTTTTCATACGTGAGTGTAAACTGTGTGTCTGCACTCCTGTTTTGCCTGATTTTTAAAATGTTTTATACACTGTCAGTTTCACAGTATTTTAATTAGAGTTGATAACTGGGACTTTTTTTTTTTTGTCCTGAACAAGTCTAGGGGAGAAGGGAAAGCAAAAATTAGGAATGAGAAGTACTCCCCCTTGCTCACAGCTAATGATGAGGGAACCCATTGTTGCACTGAGGCATGTGCAACAGTATTGTCATAATAAGGACATAACTGCAGAAGAAAAAACAAACAGACCAGCTAGACAGGGGTGGCATTGAGAGTGTTCTGTGTGGTTGTTGCTCCGCTCATGTCATTCTCAAGAGTTCTTATGCTGCTTTTCAGCAGCTCTTGCTCATTTCTGTCATTCCCATTGAAAAAAGGCAGTTTTCAGACAGCAGCATGCAGTGGTTGGGACCCCTACCACTGACAATCCAAAACAGTTTTAAGGCAATTTACATTTTAAAAATGAAAATCTCTTAGAGTGAATCTTCTGTGTTTCATAACATTTTATGTATGTCTTCTATAATACTTGATAGCCAGCTGTGTCTCTGAGAGACAAACAAGCCTTCCAGCAAAGATTAAAGCAATCATTATTCTTCAAACAAAAATTATTCTTCTGATTAAGCTTACAAATTTTTTTCAACAGAATTCAGTATGGAAGGGAAAAGACACTTTCTTTGGTTCTTCTTTCATTAATGAGTAAGCAAATTGTTTCTAACTGGGAACAGAATAATACCAAAACTGAAAGCATCCCCTCTGGAAAGAAAAAGCTAGGTTCTACTACAAAGGAAGAACAGAGAAACATGTGCAGTACTGAATTTTCTCATTACAACAATATGGAGCCAGATACCTTAGAGTGGGTTTAAAGACAAACTTGAGCTAAGACTGCATCTCCAAAAAGGAGGGGCAAGGGGAGACCTGTTTGTGCTTGTAGTTGCCCTGGTCTTCCTTGCGTGCGATCTCAGATTCACTCAGCCTTGGAGTAGGCCAATTTTTTGCTCAACTCCCTAGTCCAGCTGAAAACTAATATTGCCAGAAAACAAACAAACAAAAAGTATTTTTTTCAGCTGGATGAGTGAGACGATCTGATGTAAGCAGGCCAATGCAGTTGGGAAGGCATTTGGGAGTGGGTCACAGACCCGGACTGACCTCTGCCTTCAACACTTGGGCTCCCAATAAGTTTAAGCTGGGATAAGTTAAAATCCTTCTAGTGCCCTCTCTCATCTAGGCACTCTTCAGATCTCAGACAGGGAACACAGCTCCTAAGAAGACTACAGAGGGCAGAAATTTCACAGGTTCAACAGAGCGAACTCCATAGTAAGGAACTCTGTCACGCAGTAACCTGGAACTCTCAGATTTTCTGCACCTTACAGTTGCTTTTTAATATATAAATACCACCACATAGAATCATAGAATCATTAAGGTTGGAAGAGACCTCCAAATCATTGAGTCCAGCCTTTGACCGAACACCACCATGCCAACTACGCCATAGCGCTAAGTGCCATGTCCAGTCGTTTCTTGAACATTTCCAGGGACGGTGATTCTACTGCTGCCCTGTGCAGCCCATTCCAATGCTTAACCATGCTTTCAGTGACAACAATTCTAGTCTCCAACCTGAACCTCCTCTGGTACAGCTTAAGGCCATTCCCTCTTGTCCTGAGAAGAGGCTGACCCCCACCTGGCTAAAACCTCCTTTCGGGTAATTCTAGAGATTGAAAATGTCTCCCCTGAGCCTCCTTTCCTCCAGGCTAAACACTCCCAGCTCCCTCATCTGCTCCTCATAGGACTTACCCTCTAGACCCTTCTCTGGATGCACTCCAGCACCTCAATGTCTTGCTTGTAGTGAGATGTCTAGAACTGGACACAAGACTTGAGGGGTGGTCTCACCAGGGCCGAGTACAGGGGAACAATCACTGCCCTAGTCCTGCTGGCTACAGTATTTCTGATACAAGCCAGGATGCCATTGGCCTTTTTGGCCACTGGGGCACACTGCTCGCTAATGTTCAGCTGGTGTTGACCAGCACCCCCAGGTCCTTTTCCACCAGGCAGGTTTACAGCCTTTCTGCCCCCAACCTGTAGTGCTGAAGGGGTTGTTGGGACCCAAGTGCAGTACTCAGCACTTGGCCTTATTGAACCTCACACAACTGGCCTTGGCCCATCAATCCAGCCTGTCCAGATCCCTCTGCAGAGCCTTCTTGCCCTCCAACAGACCAACGCTCCCACCCAACTTAGTGTCATCTACAAACTCACTGAGGGTTCACTCTATCCTCTCCTCAAATCATTAATAAAGATATTAAAGAGGACTGGCCCCAACACTGATTCCGGGGGGCACTACAGGTCACTGGCTGCCAACCGGACACAGCACCATTCACCACCACCCTTTGGGCCCAGCCATCTAGCTAGTTTTTCACCTAGCAAAGAGTGAACTTGTCCAAGTCATGGGCTGCCAGCTTTTCCAGGAGAATGCCATGGGAGATGGTGTCAAAGGCTTTGCTGTAAGTCCAGGTAGTCTACATCCACAGCCATCCCTCACCCACTGGGTGCGTCGCCTGGTCATAAAAGGAGATCAGGTTAGTCAGGCAAGACTTGCCTTTCACAAAACCATGCTAGCTGGGCTTGATCCCCTGGTTGTGCTGCATGATGGCTCTCAAGGTGATCTGTTCCTTGACCTTGCCCAGCACTAGAGATAAGGAACCTGTAGTTCCCCGGATCTTCCTTCTTGTAGATGGGTGTCACATTGGTTAACCTCCAGTTAACTGGGACCTCTCCAGTTAGCCAAGATTGATGATAAATGATGGAAAGGGGCTTGGAGAGCTCTTCCACCAGCTCCCTCAGTACTCTCAGATGAATCCCATCTGGTCCTACAGACTAAATGGGTCTAAATGGCTCAGCAGTCCACCAACTACTTCCTGCTGGATTGCAGGGGCCTGTTCTGCTCCCTGTCCCTGTCTACAATTTCAGGGGCCTGTTTGCCCTGAGGATAACCGGTCTTTCTATTGAAGACTGAGGCAAAGAAGGCATCAAGTACCTCAGCCTTTTTCTCATCCTTGGTTACAGTGTTCCCCTCTGCGTCCAATAAAGGATGGAGATTTTCCTTGGCCCTCTTTACAATGTTAATGTATTTATAAAAGCACTTTTAATTATCTTTCACAGCAGTAGCCAGATTGAGTTCTAGCTGAGCTTTTGCCTTTCAGATTTTCTCTGTACATGACCTAACAAGACCCTTGTACTCTTCCTAAGTTTCCTGCCCCTTTTTCCAAAGGTCATAAACTCTCTATTTTTCCCTGAATTCTAGTGAAAGCTCCCTATTCATCCAGGCCAGTCTTCTTCCCCACTGGCTCATCCTTTGGCACACAGGGACAGCCTGCTCCTTTGCCTTTAAGATTTCCTTCTTGAAGTATGTCCAGCCTTCCTGGACCCCTTTGTTTTTAGGGGCTGTTTTCCAAGGGACTCTCTGAAACAGTGTCCTGAACAGACCAAAGTTCACCCTCTGAAGTCCAAGGTAGAAGTTTTGCTGACCCACTTCCTTATTTCACCGCAAATTGAAAACTATATTTTCATGGTTGCTATGCCCAAGGTGGCCTCTGACCACCATATCTCCCACCAGACCTTCTCTGTTTGTAAACAGAAGGTCAAGCAGGGCCCCACCACTAGTAGGCTCACTTACGAGCTGTGTCAGCAAGTTATTTTTCACACACTCCAGGAACATCCTAGACTGCCTCCTCTCTGCTGTCATGAGCTTCCAGCAGACATCCAGCAAGTTAAAGTCTCCCACAAGAAAAAGGGCTAGTGATCATGAAATGTCAGCCAGCCACTTATAAAATAGTTCATCTGCCTCTTCGTCCTGGTTGGGTGATCTATAACAGACTCCCACCAGGGTATCTGCCTTGTTAGCCTTCCCCCTGATCCTTACCCATAGGCACCCAACCTAATCATCACTATCATTGAGCTTTATACAGTTGAAACACTTCCCAGTGTACAGAGCCACCCCACCACCTCTCCTTCCTCTCCCATCCCTTTTGAAGAGCTTGTAGTTATTCACTGCAACACTCCAGTCATGGGAGTTATTCCACCATATTTCCACGATGTGGACTATGTTATAGCTTTCCTGCCACTCAATGGCCTCTGGCTCCTCTTAATTCAATACAATAGAGTGGCACTGTCTAATGTTTATATACTAGGTACGATGGAGATACAACTGTGAGTATCATAAAGATGCTTAAACAGTTTGACATTAAAGTGATAGGATTGTAACTACTCAGTTCAATAGGCTCTTGGGGCTTTTTTTCTTTTCCATCTCTGTAGGACAGTTACAATTGCTCAGATGTCTTTAATGCCATAAAAAAGTTTGGATTTAAAGTTGAATTTTGATTTTCTCAGTTCTACAGGTGATCACAATATTCCTACAGTACTACAGGTAATCCCAGTATTCCTACAGTGATTTTAGCCTTTGAATTACTTATGTCAATGGGACCTTGTTCAGCCATCCATGGCTTTTGTCAGGCATTCAGCAGCAGTACCGGGAGGAAGGTGCTCACCTGGCAGGTAGCTCCCTCCAGCAGGCAGCTGGAAGGCTTTGTTTGGACTTGCAGTCCAGCTCCAAGATATGGTACCTTCAGTCACACTCCAGAGGCATCAGCTTCTCTGGGGTACCAAGGTCCTGATTCAGGCACCCATTAGGCTATGTGGTACCTTCCTCTCTGTAAAACTACAGAACATTCACATATAATTCCTGGATAACAGTCACAGTAAGTTTAAGCTAAATAAACTATACTATGAATAAATTATACTGCAAAGAATTCATGTAAGAGGCAAGGAATTCGGTCTTTCTCCTTATTTTGTGATGTTACTCAGCAGTACAGCCACATCCCAGGTAAAAATGGCCACCAAAGCATTGATATTCAGTAAGATGCATAAGGCAGAACATAAACACTTATTCCTTAGCTTAGTTATTAAAAATAAAGCTATAGGCTTTCTGGTGAGGAGTGGTTCATCTGCTTAGTCCAATGTGGGAATCAATTAACAGGTACAGTAACCAAAATATATTTTAATAAAAAATTCAGGCTTCACTTGCTTAGGAAAACCACCATAATTTAAAATTCTAAGAGAAAGGCTTGTGCAGTGTATTGTTAGGAGTGATGTGTGCCTAAAAGAATATTTGTGTTTTATGGACAGTTGATTTGCCCAAGACAACACAAAATACAAATCTGATGTAAAATGTCAGACAGCAAACAGGGTGGGAGTTAAGGCTCACAACACACGTGTCTTCAGGCTGTGCCGTTGCTACTGTGAAAGAACAAAGTGTGCAGTGTTTGAACTGATGCCAATGAGTGCTCAAAAGATGCAGATAAATCCTGTGACTTCAAATAAATGCCATGGTTTCCTCATATCTTTCTGATGATACAAGAGGCTTTATGGTTCTGGTTTGAACAGTGTGCCAGGAGAGATGATCAGGTTTCACTCATTTAGTTTATATTACCTAGAAGATAAGCAGTTTCCATCTTCAAGGCTTAAAGAGTAACTCCCTTTGTCGGAATGTTAATTGTTAATTCCACTAGAAAGCTAGGGTCCAGCTGCAATCATTCACTGAGGTGCAGGTAAGTTAAGAGTTTCTTGTTATAAAATGTAGTTTCACTGAAGGAGAAGTTGTTTTTCAGATGTCAGATAGGCTTGATAATAGCCTCAATCGAGTGTAGCATCAGTCAGCATAAACCAAGGATATAATCCTCTTTTTGCTGCACTACCGCAGTGCTTTATAACTATAGAGTTAAAAATTTTAATGGGGCCATTGATGATTGCTTGTTCATGTGGAAATCATTTGACTTTTTCAATTCTTTTTTTATTTTATGAGTTGACTAAAGCATTAAAACAGCAACATTAGCCTGAATGGAACCGTAATACTTATTAATGTTGAAGATCATTTGCTTTGGAAGGAGGTTTTTGGTTACATCAGGAGAGCATGAGAGAGATGAGTTATTCATTTGGCATGAAGGTGAGGAGAAATGCAGTTGTAGTTGTGTAGGTGAAATATGTACATCATGACTTAAAAAAATTAAGTCATTTTGCTGAACTTAATTTTTTTTAATTACAGAGTTTACTAAGTAACAAAGAAAACAGTGAACTGTGTCTGCCCTCTCTCAAAACCCATTCATTGCTGCAGAGAAGAGACCACAGCAATTAGCAGCTGGCAAAACATCACACTCAGCAGCTGCTGGTTTTTTAAGTAGTGGTTGTGGTTTTCCTAAATACAAAACAAGACAGAATTTTGTCACCACTTGCTATAATAATAATGCCAAGCATGTTTTATGTTATGAAGCCACTGAAAATGTAGTTTAGAAGTTGTATTTTCAGAGAAGTGAATGTTTGGCAGCTAAGATCCTGAAGCCCAGAAAGGAAGATTTGTCCCAAATCACTGCAGAAGCTCATGCAAAAGTCAGGTGTAAATGCCAAACCAACCAGCTTCAGTATGGAGCTAAATGACCAGCTGAGCCCTTTTCCATCTAGTCTTTTCTTTTCCTTTTCTGTAGTTGTTTGGCAAATAAATACCTAGGCTAATGTTTTTACACACCACATGTATATTTTAAGCACTATTTAATTGTTTGTGGAATTCTACTGTTAACATCAGAGTAACCAGCAGTTTATCTCCCAATGTACGAAAAGGCTTATTTCTTGCTCCAAGGAGCTAAAAGTTAATAATAGGCATAGAACAGTGAGTGGTTAGAATCAGTAAGCTAAGGGGAAAGCAAGGGACTGGGCTATGAGAGATCATCATTCTTTTCACAGATCTGCTTCTGATGTGCTGAGTGATGCTGGATAAACCTCTCTGGTGGACATCTCCACCTCAGCAGCAAGTGTTGTCTTTGTCTAGATTGCCAATGTTTTGAGGATAAGACTTCCTTTCTTATTACATGTTAATGAAGGGTTTATATCAATGAAGTTCATTCTAAAGTGTCTATAGATTACTTTTGTGTCTGTCCATGAGACAAGAGCAAGCTATTGTCAATATATTTACCTCTGCCATTTGGAGGCTTCCACCTTCCACTGAAAGCATCTGAAGGATGAAACAGGTGGGAAACCTTTGGCTCACATCAGCCTGAGAACCACAGACTCTGCTGCACCACCAACCACTAGCAACTGTCGTGGCAGAAGTGAACAACTTGGCCAGCACACGGCCAGGAGAGCTCCGTTTGCTCATGGGTTGTCACACCTTACCTGGCTTGGTTTTGAAGAGCCTTACAAAGCAATGAGTATCAATACTATATTAAGGTTACAGCTTTCCTTATTCTATGATAAGAGATGAGTTGTCTGAAGAAGTCAAAGTTAATTTTTGTGACCTCTGTTTTCTCGTTTACTCTCTTATAAGGATCTGGAGATCACCTTGGAGTTCTCATCATTGAACAGGAAACAAAGGTGTTGCAAGGTTAGTGTCTTGTAGTAATAGTTCTTCAGCTCCTATTGCAGATGTGCAACAGTTTGAACAGCTGGTGCATGTGCAGCTTGGTAGTGTGACTTTGAATTGAATTATACTGTTCCTTGGTGTTCCCAGGAGGTTTCCTCATCCCTCCTCTTCTCTAGCACTGGAGCACTGAAATAGATAGACCATGATGGGGACTGGTGAACTGTCAGGAATAGTTTCTGCACAACTAAGCTGTTTTAAAGCCAGAGAAAAAGTAAATCAGTGTTTTTCAGCCTGTGGACTTCACACCTCTGGCAGTCAGTAAGGAAGCAGTAGGCAGTCCATGAAATAAAGACTCAGCAACCATAAAATGGATGCACACTTCCTTATATCAACAAACAGGGAAGGTAAGGGGAAAATGCAGTTACTAAACAAACATCTGAAGTTAGGCTTCATTATTTGTTTGGTTGTTTATGGAAACCATTGTGCCAATGCTTCTTTTTTCTTTTCCTTGCTGTTTGGGAAAAAACTAAAAGTGCTGTGATGCTGTTTTGATTAAAGTGTAAAAAAAAAAGTTGAGAGGATGAACTCTCAAAACTGTTACCAGCTCTGATATTTTGTGATTCTATACCCTCCTCTGTGATTTCTAATTCTGCTCTCTGCTTTATCATTATTGCCACTATTTACGGTTCTCTTTCTTCCTGTAATATATATAAAAAAAGGGTAAGTTGTAGGTGCAGCAAAATATTCCCCAGGAATGTTTAGTTTAGAAAAAGGAGTTTTTCCATCTCTCAACCTGTGAGGATAATTCAGTTTGCATGTGCAGAATTGATAGATCCACTGTTCACAGGATTGTGTTCTTTCTCTTCTTTCTTGCCATTCCACTTCCATTTCCCATAACACTGTGCCTTCTTCCTGTAATTTTTCAGCTCTCCAAGCTCCAAACTGTCTGCCCTCTTTGTGCCTCTAACACTTTGGATGCTTTCCCCACTTCTTTTTAGTTATTCAGTTTGTTCTTGCATTTTCTTACTGTCCCTCTCCTCTCCCCCAATTTTCCTCCACACAAAGATACCTTTTCTGCTTTTAAAGTAATTAAATTAGCAGAGCTGATTGAAATCTAGGTGAAGCAATTCTCTGAGCCCTGTGCTTTTCAACAGATGCATTACTCAATATACATTAGTCAATCTTCTGTAGACCTCAGTGAATGACAGAAATGAATATTTGATGAATATATTCAACAACAATAGCATTATTCAAACACTTTACTCAATGAAGTACATTCAGCACATTCAGAAGTTAATGGTGCATTCAGGTTACTCTGTTTGCTCAGCAGAGCATGTGCCTAGCCCCAAGGGGGGAAACCAAGTCACTCATACATTTGAGGGAAACCAAGGGGTGGGGAGGCTCTTCTGGTCATTTGTGTCTCTAGCGAGCAGGAAAAAATGTGTGTGTATGTTGGTGGTGGTTGGTTTAAGTCACATCTAGGAAGTAAATTATGTATGTGAGGAGGAAGAGAGATGACTTGCTCTATTTACTGACTGGCAGAACTTGTTCTCATGCTTATCACTTGTACTTCAGTCAGAAATGAGTAAAACAAATCAATGTATCTCTGATCTTCAGCTTTTGTCCCAATTGGAGTGTGCATATATGTATCAAGCCGGGGGTTGAAGTAAATCTAACCTCACTTCTTGTTCCATTCAACATTTTCTTGAGCACTTGGTGGGTCCTTCCAACTCAGAATATTCTGAGAAATGATTCTGTGAAATAATCTATCTTCTACTGATTAAGACTTTTTAGTGCCTCCTTTGTAATTTCCCGTAGAGGCCAAGTCTTTTTTGTGGTCTTAATGTCCACAGTGCCAAATAGATGCTGCTTTGACCCTTTTGTAGCTTTTTTAAACCTTTGAGTATTTTCATTGTCAGCCTCAGCATTGGATGTAAATTGATGTAAATTGATGTCATCTACATTTTCCACAATCTACTCAATTTCTTTAGCCAGCTTCCCTTCTTGACTCCCTTTGATTCATTTTGCACAAAATGAACCTCCTCTGAACGCTAAGGCTGAAATCTCTCCTTGGCTACAAAGATTTGAATCACATTTTTTCTTCTCTTGTCCTCAGGTTAGTCAGAACATAATTTTGCCAAGTGTCACACCCTGACACCACTCAGCATCTGCTTTGATGTGTATTGCCACTTCTAGAAGTGCTACAAAACCTCTTACCACTGTCATATTTTTCCTACTGCTCAGCTGTGTGCTTATTAGAAGATTTCTCTTTTACTGTTGTCTGAATCCTCACCTTGCTCTTAATTTCATACAGCCCACATAATGTCTTTGTCTTCTCTAGCCTCAGCTAACTTTACTTCTCATCAGTCTGTGCCTGTGCTGTTCCATGAAGTCAATTTTCTCTTGTTTATCAGTTGAGTAACTCCTTATCTTTGAGGTCCATTTTAGTTTTTCCATTCCATATGTTCTTTGCAAGGCTTCAGTGCATTAATTGCATTTTCAAAGCATACAAAAGCATCAGTTAACATCCACATCTATAGCAAGAGTGGTGCATAAAGCAAACGAATCTTTTAAAGGCACATTTGCAGCTCCTTTGAAGAGAGGAGCTGTGCTGGTTATAACCCAAATAATACCACGAAACAGGCTCTGTGGCCCTTTAGGCTTGAAGCTGAAGGTTGTCCTTTACAGCCATTTCTCAATATCATGTGAAGGCTGCCAAGTGGAAAAAAATATAACCAAAGTTCTGCAGGCTTCCAGCTGTAGAAGCACTGCTGGCCACAAGACCTGACCTGCAGTCCTTTAGTAGATTTCAGTTTCTCCTCAACAGAGCACATAGACCAGGAACCATCTTCAGATCTGTAAAATCCTCAAAGTAAATTTCTCAGACTATATTTAGGTATCTCCATGGCCTGATTTCCACCAGTGATTTTTGTGCCTTGCTGGTGACCCAGCATATCTTTTATTTCTGTTCAGCTGAAGGCTCGGAACTGGTATAATTCCAGGCATGGATTAATAGGTGACATTAGGCTTTTTACATTAGAAAGGGATGGTGTGGTTATTGTGGCCATTAGCAAAAGCCCCTTTCAGCCATACTCATTTTACATGGCATAACAAAAATCAGTCTTCCCTTCGACAGTGCTTGTGTGCATCTTAAAAATCTTAGGAAGGGCCTCTTTAGGTTTTCTGTCTAATCTTCAGAGGACAGCTCATCCACAAGATGCACACATATGTGCTCACATTCATACCTGCTCCTGTGAACGCTTTGTTTCCTTGCCTGTGCTATATCACAGTGGTATCGTTATGCTTTGCTGTTCAGCTCCTTTGAGACTGATGCAGTGATTGCATTTTACTTACTTAGGAAGCATCAAAGCGCTGGTGCTGCTGTCTTCAAGAACTTGGTTTAATCTTCTGCTTGAGCTCTGTTTGCAGATGTGGAGGACAGAAACAGCTCTTTAAAGAGGTATTTCACGAAGTCACTATCCTCCAAACATGTTTAAAAGCATAGGAGTATATGTCTGAAAAGATATAAGCTAACTGATATTTCCCTGTTATTTTTTATCTGCAGCATAGAGAAGTAGCTTGGTAACCATTCTTCCCAGTATAAATCAGCAATATATTAATTTCTGCAGCTGTCCTTCAGCTCCTTGAGTAAGTCATGAGCTCTAATGGTAGCACTGCAGGAATACCCAAATAACCTTGCTCCCCAGCAGAAGTCTGGCCATAGGCAGAAGTCACGATGGGCTGCAGAATCAAGAGAGAGCAAAAGAAGTACTGAGCTTTACAGAATCACAGAATCATTTAGGTTGGAAAAGACCTCCAAGATCATCAAGTCCAACCTTTGGCTGATCACAACCTTGTCAACTAGACTGTGGCACTAAGAGCCATGTCCAGTCATTTCCTGAACACCTCTAGGGATGGTGACCCCACCACTTCCCTGGGCAGCCTGTTCCAGTGCCTGACATTTCCTGTGAAGCTTTGTGATGCTGTGGCCTCATTGCTACTTGAGTGAATAAATACTCAACAGGAGTTGGAAGAATTTGGGTAGCTGTTGTGTTCATGTTCCGCTTACTGGTTTATGTTGCAGCCGCAGAAGATATCTGGAAATATGAACATGATGAATTTGAATGCAATATCAAACAGCCTGGTTGTGAAAATGTCTGCTTTGACCATTTTTTCCCTGTCTCCCACATCAGACTTTGGGCTTTGCAATTAATCACGGTCTCCACCCCTTCACTCTTGGTTGTTTTTCATGTTGCTTACAGAGAGAACAGAGAGAAGCACCACAACCAGAAGCTTTACAGAAACCCAGGAGAGATAGATGGTGGATTGCTGTGCACTTACCTAATCAGCTTCATTTTAAAAATAGGATTTGAAATAGTTTTTCTTGTTCTGTTTTATAAATTGTACAATGGATTCAAAATACCGCATCTTGTGAAATGTGACATGAGACCATGTCCCAGTAGCGTAGACTGCTATATTTCCAAACCCACAGAGAAGATGATTTTCCTCTATTTTCTGGTGGCAACTTCATGCCTGTGCATCATACTAAATCTAAGTGAATTGACTTATCTAATTTTCAAATACTCCCCAAAATGTTATCTGAAGAGATACATGAAGAAACAGCAAGGCTCCAAAAGCAATTGTCGCAAATCAGAAATCATTGGTTACAACAGAGCAGCACCTGCAGGACAATTCCCCGATAGCTCCTCATCTTTGCCTCTGAATATACGAGATGAACATGAAAAATGTTCCCCGTTGACTTGAAAGAAGGCTGGAGACCACCCTCCCATTACACAAGCTGCTTTTGACAAATTGCTTTTCCCGAGTGCTTTACAGAACTGAAAGGATAGTTACAGAGGAAATACTGTTTCTCTACTAGTTCCCCATTACTCTAGCTGATAAATTCAGTAACGTTATGTATGTCATACATAAAATCATCAAGATCTTTTCATGTTGAAACAAGAAGTGTAGAAGTCTGAGAATCCCATGAAGTTTTAATATAAACACAGATGCTTATGATAAATCATGTGAAACAATTGCTCACAGTTGTGTATTGAATATTGCACAGAATTGCTTTGGTACAAGCAAAAAGAGGCTTTTTATATGCAGAGGTGGAAGAACCTGGGACTGATTAAGAAACTGAACAATAAGGGGATGTACAGCATTTGTCAGGTGGGTGGATCTGATGACTGTTGCAACAGCAATAGGAAAGTGCTGGTGTTTGAAGTGAACTATGTAGTCACATGCCCATTCCACCAGACTAGAAAACATACCAAAACCAGAAAAAAACAAGAAGAGGTAGACGCATCTATTTTAGCCCATGGTGATAAAGACAGACTTGCTTATTTAGCTGTTTATGGAGCACCTCCTTCTGAAAGCATCTGAGCCCTTTACAATTTTAAGGGTATTAATCATCAGAACACATCCTCTAAGGAAAGGCACTTGCTCAAACTTGTGCAAGCAGCACCAAGCAGCTCCCGAGTCATTAGATTTGTCTTCTGCTTTGTGGTTGTGGCATTTAAGAGAAAGGATCATTCCCAGTTCCACAGGAGTGAGTAGAGAAATGCAGACCACGCAATATGGCAGAACAGTAGCCAGTAGTCCCTAGTATTGAGTAGCCTGGAATCTGGTCCCTTAAGTAAGGCTGAAAATACTGCTGCTCTTTCCTTCAGTAGATTTCTCTGCTGTAAAAATATGAAAAACCTCCAGTAGAAACAAAGTAAAAAAGAATCATCTATTCCCTTCCCCCCAAGTTTCAGAGTATCTCTTAAATACCACACACTTCTGCGCCGTGTTATGTGCATCATTTGGGAAAACAGGAAAGGGATAGAAATTAGCTAAGACATGTCTTCTGTTGAACCTAGACTTTTAAGACAACAGAAACTAGTGCCTAAAAAAACTTATTTCAGGGTGGTGTGCTCTTTCTGTTGCTGAAATGAAAGACCTTTGAACAGAAATCAGTAGTGAGCCTGATCAAAATGCACCCTTTAGCACTACATTTATGAGTAGTGGGGTAGCAGTTACAGAATTAACTTTAAGAACTAGTGAATAAACTGTGTGCTTTTTGACTGTGATTTTCAAGGTGTGTTGGTTTTTTTCCTAAAATAAACCTACTTTTATAAGGTTTTGCTGCCAAACTGACCAGTGACAGCAGTCCCTCAGATACCACCTTGCCAGCCTGTGGCCAGTTAAAGTTTTACATCTCGAGTGATGCTGCATCAGTACCTATATCAAGACAAGGTGCTTTATGCAATTCAGGATGTTTCCTGTTAAATTTCTACATACACAGAATGTGGCTCATGACAGAAATACCAGTTAGAAAGTCTTTTGCAGCTACTGGACAAAACCCACCAAAGAATGCATGAAGCAAAACCACTGCCCATGAGCCCTGTGAAACTGTGACTTCCACAGTCTGAGTAACGGAGAACAAAACCCAAAATCATCTTGGACCTTTTGTGCCCTCATGCATAATTTTTTTAAGATAAGGGCAACACTACGAAAGAAAAAAGTGTTTCTAAAATGTCTGGGTTTTAATTATTGAGGACAGATTTTAAGACAGCACACTAATGAAAAAGTATTCATTGTTTTTAAAGTAAGGTTTATTTGGGAGAAAATGAAGAGAAGCAAACACAGTTTAGACAACACAGGTTTCTGATAAATTTGTGCATTAGCTGCTCTCTAATAAAAAAGTGTATAAAGTCAGCGCTTGAAGGGTTTTAGAGCATCCCCTAAAGCTCTGTGGCTGGTCAGAGATTCCCACTTAGACCAAAAATTTTCCCATGAAACAAGAACTCTAATTCTTTGGAATGTATGTTCAAAGTTTTATTTTTAATTCTATCTTCCAACAGCCATGAAATGATAAATAAATTCCAAAATCAACATGTTTCGAGTCTTGGAGGATACTTCAGTTCTGACAAAGCCAGTACCTTACATGAGAAATATTCTGAGAATTTATTATTACGGACCAACTCTGTGTAACCCAACTCACAGCAAACTGCCAAGTAGCCTTCACATCATGTGCTGAAAAATTTGAGTGTTTGATAGAGCAACTCATGAAAAGGAAGGGAGAGTCACACAAGGCAGCTCTGTCAGATTTTGCTGAACCTGAGAGAACAGAAATAAACTCATCTCTTTCTGAACCCTTGTTCTTGGCCATCATTTGGTCTTTTACTGGCTCCTTCCCTTCCACAGTCCTTTCCCTGCCTTTATAGGCTTTTGTTCTCCAGTTTAAGTTTCACTCATCCATACATCCCTGAAGGCGTTAGCTGTTATATTTTTTGGTTCAAATGAGTTTACAGGCTTGGCCCCTAAACTTCTGAGTCACCCAAATAGACATGTTAAAAAAATTAATTCAAGTGCTATGTTCCACAAGGATATAATCAATTGATAAGCTGATCTGAGCCTATACAGTAACGGAGAAAAAACATGATCACTCCATGCACATTCATAAAAAAATATTTACCTCATTCATATTCCAAAACATCAAAAGATCCATGTCTTACATAGACTTTCATTTTCTTTAAAATCCAAGTAAGCTCCTTGCCTTGGGACAGAAAAGGTTTGAAAAAAAGACACAGAAAAATATTTCCCTATTTGCTGATAGTTTATTCCCTCTACTTCCTTCTCCAGTACCACTGGCCCTGTTTCCCACCCTTTTAATAGTATCACCTTCTCCATGCCAAGGCTCCAGCCAGGGCTGAGCATGAGCTTCTCCAGCTCAGGGGACCTAAACCTCAGGGCAGCATGTCCCTGCCTGCACAGGTGGGAGCCATAACCAACTCTTTGGCACAGAAACTCATTGCAACAATTAGCCAACTACTTTTCCTCACCTGATCCAACAACTGGTTCTAGTCTTACTTGTACAAGCATTGCTCACTTGCTATCCAACAGCCATAGACTTGACATCCCAGTGTAACCCACAGTCCCCCCATCCTGCTCAGAAGGACCCCCTAAAACATGTGAGGACAAACCCACTACTCTTATTTACACTGAATTAGGGCTTAGACAATAGATTTCTTTATAAACATAGTTAACCACAAGAGAGACTGACTGTGACTTTCAGTCACAAAACAGTCTGTTCTCTGCATCCAGCCAGACTCCTCGATTTGGTTGTTTCCCCATCAGCACCAACTTCTGTTTTGGTCAGTACATTCCTGATGGCAACAAGGGGCTAAAAGAGCGAGCTTTTGCCTGAATGCCTTCCCCCTGCCCACCCCCCCCTTCACAGGTGACAAGTCTGGAAGGCAGAGACAGAGGAAGGAAAAAGGCAAGGCAGAAGACAGAGAGGGACTAAGCAATGGGGCCAGCGGCACCTCTGGGTGTTGGGGCACCCTGCGGGCTGAGGTGCTGCTGGTAGAGCTGCCTTGGCCACTTTGGAGCCCCATCCTGCTCTGCAGCCCCAAGGGCTTCAGGCTCCAGAGAAGCCATCCCTTCAGGCATCCTGCCGCTGCTACAGTGGGAGGTTTCCTACATCACCGAAGATAAAACATCCAAATGGTATGTTTTATATATATATATATATATATATATATATGTATATATATACCTGTTTTCTTTCCTTGGGAGCCTTTCTAGGTGGCATTACCAAACCAGAATGCCCTCTGCAGTCTGTGACATCTTAAATCAGACCCTGCCTTTGGTCCCCCATTTTAAGTTCAAAACACTTTTTTTTTAAAAAAAGGAAAAAACAAGCCCCATACTAGCTTACCTGTGTCAGTACCCACCTAAAAGGGTCAAGGAAGGCACTGACTACATTGGAACAGCACCTACTTTAATTGGATTGGGATGAGACAGTATTAAATATTTCATTCTCAGAAATTCAGACCCTACATTCAGATACAAACCAGAAATTACTTTCTGGATATTTATGACATTGGAATTTTTTTCCTTTTCTCTTTTTTTTAAATAGCATTCTAGTATAGCATTGTTTAGCTAAATAGTTATATACCATTCTCAGTCCAAGAACTGCAAATGATGTGGAATTTATCATCAGGAATGTCAATGCTGAAACTATTCAATTCACAACACAAAAATTCTTCTAAAAGACTAACAGTTGCGAGGTCTGTTGACAGTGACTGCAGTGGCTAAGTAAAGCTGAAAATGAGATTTCAGGCGATCTTTGTGGATTCACTCCAGAGGATCTCTGCCCTCTTCTCCCCTGCAGAAGTTCCCTCTACAATCACCATGGCTGGTATCCAACAGCAGCTCCATCCAGGGGGACCACGTGGCCTTTAGTAGGTAGAACATGGCACTGTGTGCTTGTAACTATTACAACAAACTCTCCTAGAGTTAAAATGCAAGGATTTGTTTTGGTTTTATCAGACAACACCTTTGATTTACTAACTTGGCAGAATTATCAGTTTAGTCACCTGGGAGGGAACAAAAGCGAGAGGAGCCAAGGGGCTCTGTTCAAATGGAAGCACAGGCTGTCTGTGAAGGTAGGCAATTTAGCACCACAAAGCAAACCAAGGGCTATGCTCAAGTTGAACTGCTGTTGCCTTCCTGCTGTTTCATACATAATCCTCACTCTCGCAACAAGTAATTTCATTTTGTTGTAGGAATGTGCCCTGTGGACTGATATTCGGGAAAACTATCAAAGATTCCAGGTGAATAGCTTAAGAGCAATCAAGTGTAGCATTTAATACAAAGCTTTACATGGCAAGACAAGTTCATAGAAAAAAAAAATAAAAATCAAGCCAATCTCACCCAAGTTAAAGACTATTTTATATTACTGAAGGTAGGTCACACCCAATAATGAGAATAATCCAAGAAAAATTTTTGGTACCACACAACCCAGCTGGCTTGTCCCATCTGAGTCAAGATAATCACATGTGAAAACCAACACTGAAGACTTCTGGGTACTGACAGCTCCCACCAATGCATTCACATTTTTGGTTACTCAACAAACTGGATACCTGTCATTTCAGTTAGCAGCATACAGAGGAATTGCTCCAATCCCGGGCACTACAAGCAGCACCGCTTCTGAGGCTCGTTCCAGTGTGGAAAAGGGAGGTTGTGAGAGTGGTGCCAGGTACAGTCAGCAAGAGGCAGAAGAGCGCAAAGGGAGCCCATGCCATCAATAGAGCACAACCACTGAGTTTATCTGTAAGATCACAATCTCACTTCCCTTTCAGGAAGTGTCTTGTTTATTTAGCTTTTAATGGTATGGCATAAGGACTCGTGTATTTTATGGATAGATACCAAACTGGTATTATCAAAATAAACCATCTGTTTTATAAACCCACTATTTACAAAAACGGTTTCTGAAGTTTTTTTGTTTTGTTTTGTTTTTTTAACAAAAATTAAACTATACACC